TAAATTTTATGTAACGGAATGGCATTTGACATCTCCAGTGCTACTTTGAATTGTCTCTGTTTTAATTTCCATAATTCTTGTTATGTTTGTTTGTTTGTTTTGAATTTCACGCAAAGCTACACGAGGGCTATCTGCGCTAGCCGTCCCTAATTTAGCAGTGTAAGACTAGAGGGAAGGCAGCTAGTCATCACCACCCACCGCCAACTCTTGGGCTACTCTTTTTCCAACGAATAGTGGGATTGACCGTCACATTATAACGCCCCCACGGCTGAAAGGGCGAGCATGTTTGGTGGGATGGGGATGCGAACCCGCGACCCGCAGATTGCGAGTCGAGCGTCCTAACCACTTGGCCATGCCGGGTCTCTTGTTATGCAAGTTGCATCTTATATCGTGTGACGGATTTACTATCCTATATTTATTTTAATATTGATGTTTGGTTTAATTAAATTTGTATGTAGAAATGTAGATAACTTATACTGTTAAAGCTGTATTGCAAAATTCCTGCCTATTCACTAAAGTTGTAGAAGATTCTCGAATCAACAATATACGTGCGTACGTAAACACTAGTGTATCATTTATATTGTTACGTAAGCTGAAATTTCGAGAAACTCTCTTCACACTTATAAATATAACAAACGCGACGTGCCCAAAGACAGTATATATTATTGGTTTGCTATAGTTTGTGGGCTATAACTTCGGATGCTATAACTGTGCTATAATCGGGAACTTCAGACATTTGACCAGGAACGTTTATAGATTTCGAATATTAAAAACCATTTAACTTCAGCGGATTCACAGCGGATATAAGTATTTTTACGAAAAAATTGTATAACTTCAGTGGTGGACAACTCGTGTGTGGCCGGCGAAGAACGAAGAACACAGAGCTACCGAGCTCTCTGTTAAGTGAATTGAATGAACATCAACTCAAAATTAATTCACTCATCACGAGCCCTCGATAAGATATCAAGAAAGTTCCAGACCAGATAGAGGACTAAATATTGTTTGTAAATTTGTAAGACTTTTGTACATAAATCATTATTTGTAATAACTGTTATTGTAAATAGTGTTATTGTTTGAATATTAAAATATATTTTTTATTAAAAACTGTGTGTATCAACCTTGTTGGCAAGTATCATAAATTGAATACATATAGATATTTATTTAATTTCTAAATCTAAATTATAATTTAACTCAATCTCAGGCTATTCGAAATTATAATACGTTACGTAATAAATTGGAGACTCGTCAGGGATAAACTGTAATACGTAACAATCGTTATATTTATTGTGAATATGTAGATTCCCAAAATTTCATTTTTATAACAAAGTAATGTATATATATCTTTCCGGTTGTTTAGAAGCATTTGAAATTTTACAGTTACTTATTTAAGTTTTTAGTTGTTCGGAAACTTAATTATTCCATGATGCTAGAATCAGAAGTGATATTATGCTTAGTGATAAATAGAATGACTTCATTATTCCTCATTTTTGTGATTCTAGAACAAAACATTTTTGTACAGAAACAAGAAACTATTTACGACGTTCGATGGATAATCACAAGTTAAAAAGGAATTGCATAAGTTAACTAAGAATAAGTTGAAGAATAGAAGTTTGTCACCGTTGAATAAAATGTTTTAACAAGAGTGAAAGGTACTTGCTTTTTTTTACATGAAGTTGGTGATTAAGTCCAGGTAAGCGTGAGTGTTGATCGATTTATTGTAACTCTCAGTTTCGGTGCTGATATCTCGACATTTTCTTACCATATTTCAGGAAACGATATCTTATTTTTTGATTTTCTACTTTAAACTTGATATGCGCATTCATTTATTTTAACATATTTCTGAATTTCGTATTTTAATATATTTCTGTTCAACCCTATTTTTCAACTTCTATCTAGATGAATTTGAAGCCTGAAAATAGCTAAAACTCTGAAAGCTTTTTATTTATAATAAAAATAAAAATTTAAATAAATATCTGTGAGTTTTGAAACTATTATGTAAAACCCATCAAATTACAAAGTTATCCTTGAGTTAAAGCATCTGCCATATACAAAAAGTCAGAATCATTTATTATAATATTATTTAAAATATTAGCATTAATTTTGATTTCAGATACTACAAAATTCCTACTTAGTACAACACTGTATCCGTCTGATTTTGAAGATGTGAGACAAATTGGAAATTACACAAAAATGTATACAGTGACCCCAAAATACTATTGATACTAAGTACACTGGTGAATTCAGGTCGCTACTTACACGTTAAATTGACAAAAAATGTTATAAGTCTGGGAAGGTTGTAGTTTCGAAATCTAAAGGTGGCTTTAGTTGTCTTTTAATATGAAATTAAATTGAAGGTACATTTATATATTGCCCCCCGAGTGGCACAGCGGTATGTCTGCGGACTTACAACGCTAGAATCCGGGTTTCGATACCCGTTGTGGCCAGAGCACAGTTAGCCCATTGTGTAGCTTTGTGCTTAATTACAAACAAACAAACATTTATATATTCCATTGCACGTTTTATCATTCCTATAAAAATACCATATATTATTTCATGAGTAGAGTTTAATGTTTATAAATGCAACATTAGAAAGTCTTGCGTATACGCAAGCAAGAACAGGAAAAAGCAAAACTAAATTGATAACGTTCACTATAAAACCGCCATTACCTGTCAGAAGCTAGATTCATTCTAAGCGTGTAGAATATGTTAGAATAACATATATAGTCCTGTCCATAATTTCTGAAGAATACGTCAACTGATACGCTGTATGTTTATCTGAATTCATAAGAAAAATAGAATGATAAAACCACAAAGGATTGTGTGAAATGAAAATAAAATGAAACAATTCTTTAAAAAATCTTATTACTAAAGAAAAGAAAATTATCGTATGAAAATAATACTGAATTATTAGCTGAGAAACAGATACAAGCATAATACTAAGAGAGTTACTTGTTTCATTAAATTATATTCCAGACCTTCATCAAATCTAATGGTCTTATCACGTGAATAACACCTTATTGAAAATAAGCACGATATCACTCTCTTCGACTGACTGTGTATTCAAAAAAATGTAGCGACGGATGTAATTTTAGTTGTTGTTTTTAAATATTTTCATTACTATTTTGTCTCGAATTATGGATGACAAGCATAGGTAGGCTTATTCTAGTTGGGTTTTTAATAGAAATATCTTTAATCTGAGAAATGAGCAAGACTTTACTATGAATTAATGTTTATGATGTAAAAATCGTGGTTTATTCCCTTTATTATCTAACGATTCTTCGAAACAAAAATTGGCAAATTCGAAAAAAAGGTAATAAGAAACAAAGGATGTTTATTCAGTTTTGAAAAGCTAGGGTGTTATAGGATTCTTGTAAGACCTTTGACAGATGTTAGTGTAACAGGAAGGGAATGAAGGGGTAATAAGGTACGGCAGCTGATGGAAGCACTGAAACTGTGCTTTCCTGTTTATAAACATATTTTACTAAGTTAACTATTAATTTCGTGTAAGTTTACTTACTGGTGTTGAGTATGTTTGGGAGTTACAATATTTTTTTCAGACAGGCTGTGACTAAGTACTTGAGAATGATTTCACCAGTCATTGAAACGTCGTACCTGTCTGAAATCGAATAACAAATGTTTATTTATTTACACAACCAGTCAAGTCACAAGTTCAGATGATGGAATAAGGTACTTTAATAATTCTTACTGCCCTTGGTGTATTTCCTATACTTGGGAAAATTAGCATTCGTTCAGAAAATAAATGAAAATCTGTTGTCGGAAATATTCATATTTTTGAAACATTGAAGCTCTACATGATATATACACAGTTTCAAGAAGGCTAAAAAACGAGGAAAAGGTTGGCACAACTAAAAATATTTGTTAAAACAAGGTTAGTTTCAGGCTAGCTCAGAGAATGTGTTCAACACAGTTGTCATCTGAGTTATAAGAATGGACTTTCAATATGATAAATATGCTCGTAAGTGCTGCACTTAAATGAGACGTTTTTAATCATGGTACTTGGAAAACATGGACGATAAAAAGTAGATTAATCATAATTAATTAAAAGATTCCAATAACCTGAACGTTTATGCAAGGTTAGCTTTTCCTTCCTCGCAATAGAATTGAACCATTCTTAATCTCTCACACCGGTCTTTTCTAACAATGTCTATATAAAATAAAATACTATGATTAGCGAATCATCATCCTTCCGCAGAACCCAAACCTAATCAAATTCACAATGCTTCTTTGTTTCTATCATCTGAATTATTAGAGATTTAACGACAATGGCAAATATTTATTGTGCAAGAATATATATATAATCTTTGTAATGGTATGAAAATTCCTTTAAATGTTGTTATCATAATTCTTGATTTATAATTGAATAAATAGAATGTAATAAAAATGCAACCAGAACTTACGCTAATAATATTTAAAGTTGATGATTTATATCATTATATAGACAAAATAATTCAAACTGTGAAATGAACAATATCAAAGAAGCGGATTAAGTTTAGAAAATTAAATTATATTTCAGTGTATTGTGAAGATACTTAGAGCAATGTTAAACAAATATTTGTTTCAAAGATACATTTTTCTCCTCAAACGTGTCGTATGAATAGAATACAAGATAATGTAACGTCTCATTTCATATGAAACTACATACAGTACAAATTTATACAGTTGTGGACTCAAGTTGATACAAATACATTATAAACAATTTACGTAAGTCCAGGTACATATAACCTAAGTTTACAAATAGTGATATAAATCTCGCTTAAACTAACTCAACGCTGCAAATAATCATTCTAATACCAATATTAAAGCTATAAGCTCAAAGTTAATTCATTTCATGAAATCTATGATGAGGTTATTTTAAAGTATATAAATTCCACACTATTAATTAACATATGATTTACTCGGTATTACTAAAAGTATTGAGACAATATAACCTTGATAGCAAGAAGTTTATTTCAATTTACTCTCATGGTTTACTGTTTAAGGGTGTTCAAAAAAGTTCGTCAGATGGAGTTAAGATTGCACGAGGAAAAGAGCTAATTAATGCAGAATAAGTATTATGAGTGTCGAAATACGTCAACGTGCCTTGTTATACCCAAATTCAGTAAAAGTAGTGTACTGAAGAAAGTAAGGACTACTTAACCTTCCTACCCAAAACTAACTACTCTTTTAGCATATAGTACACCACCTGGAACATTAAAAAAAATTTGGGACTACAAGCCTATAATCTATTTCTTAGAATGAAGGCGTTGGCTCTCATGGCGTCTTGATTGTCGAAAAATGTTAAAATTATTTCACGCGAAGCGGTGAATCCAATTACCCTTTCTTTGCTTTCAAGAAAAAGAGTCTGGGATTGACAGCACTTCGGAGATCTATTTGATATATTTGGAAACAACACAATGGTTTCTAAGCGATGTTGCTAAGTAACCCAGCAACGTAAAAAACATTTGTCTAGGCATATTCGTTTAAATTACCTGTAGTGTTAAACCCTTGAACTTCGTTTTACACAAATGTAATTATTTAAAATGTAAAAGTGTTTTTAATTATATTTGATCAGATTGTACGTAATCCATTTCTTAGTATGAAGGCGTTGACTCTCATGGCGATGGATCCAATTATCCTATGTTTTAATTATATTTTATCAGATTGTGCGTACCTGCATTAAAACAAGAGAGATAAAACGTTTCAATAGAAATATTTTTGTAAGCTAGTTATTACAATAACAGTTAAATTTTTTTAACATCTTCCAAAGTTACATCTTTTTTTATTAGATATTTATAAAAAACTGTTTTCTTTACTTATACTTACTTGAAGCTAACCTTAATTAGAAAATATTATTCCTTTTCTTGTTTGTAGTTAAGCACAAAGCTACACAATGAGCTGGCTATCTGTGCTCTGTCCACCATGGTTATCGAAATCCGGTTTCTAACGGTATAAGTCCGCAAATATACCGCTATGCCACTGGGGCTCTATTCTTTTTACAAAATGCTTTATGCTTTTATTGTATACAGTGTATTATATATCATAATAAACTTCTAACGTTTGAATATTTCAGAAATTTTTGTAGCTTATTTTATAGTACTACACGGATAAAAACCATATAGGGCGGTTGAAGTTATACTCATGTTTGATACATCTACCCGCATCCTAGTGGAGCAACAGTAAGTTTGAAGGCTTATCCATCATAAGTTCAAATTCGATACCTGCTGTGGGCATAGCTCAGATACTCCACTGTCAAACTTTGTGAGTAAAAACGAACAACAGCATTGATTAACTTAAGGATAAAATGCAGTTAAACTTGAAAACAATTTAAATTTTATATGTATGTATCCTTATATCTTGACTCACAATCTGCTGGTTCGAATCCCCGTCAGACCAAACATGCTCACCCTTTCAGCCGTGAGGGCGTTATAATGTAACGATCACTCCAACTATTCAATGGTATAAGACCTGGCTGTGGGTAGTGATGACTAGCTGCCTTTCCTCTAGTCTTTCACTGTTAAACTAGGGACGGCTAGTGCAGATAGCCCTAATGTAGCTTTGCTCGAATTTCTTTTCTTTATTATTACTTATGCATTTTATTTGATGCAAAAGCTCTGTTAAGAACAGGTAATGAAATAACTTTGTTTGCTTCTTGTTAAGCACAAAGCTACCTAATGAGTATGGAAACCCGATATTTAGTGTTCTAATTCTTGAGACTTGCTGCTCAGCACTGAGGGAACAATGCGCTAATATACAAAGAATTAAATTCTCGTTTTAATGTAATCATTAAAAATTTACTGGACAACCAAGAGGTATTTAACGAAAAGCCTCGTCAGCTTTGGATATGGCATATATAGTATGGTTAACATATTAGGTCATCAAGAAAATAATGTCGCGTTTTCAAACACTTTCATTACCCCCCCCCCCAAAAAAAAACGTACATCACGTATAATAGTTAAATGAACCGCCTAAACGTCACGTTAGCGTAGCTTATATGATGTGCAAAGTTTAGTACACTCTAATCCTTTATAATGATGGTACACGACAAGACACACATTCGGCATGTTATGTATGATGTTTGAATACAAGAAGGGAAACAATGCCTCTGTAGCCACAAATAATATCAAAGAAGTTTATGGAAATCTTTTGAACGTTCGTAAGTGTCAACGATAGTTTAGAAA